TTTAAAAAGCCAGTCTAAGTTTATTTGTACAGTATGCAACCAACAAAATAATGTTTAAATAAAATCCTAAACAGAATATGGATATTTGTCAGTATACATTGCCTATAAAATATAGTGTTCCTGTTTGTTGTGATTTAACCCACCCAGCAACCAAATGCCATGCAGCTGCTTGCTCACCTTCCACCACCCCCTGGGGAATAGAGAAGAGAACTAAACGGGAAAAAAAGGAGGAGACTCATGGATTTGATAGAAAAATTTAGTAGTAATAATAAAAAAGTAATAGTGATAAAATAATAATACATAAATATATATAATAATAATAGATACAAACAAGTGATGCACAGAATGTTGCTCACCACTTGGTGACCGACACCCGTCCCGTCCAGGCATGCGATCCCGAAACAGGTAAGTCCTGACACTGCAATGCTGGATGAATGAGAGGCCCTAAAAGAGAGAGAGAGAGAGAGAGAGAGAAAGAACTCTAAGAGACCAGGTCTCCAAGAGAGTTCTCGGAAGAGAATTCCAAACTTCCCGGTCAGCCCTCATCTATATATCGGACATGACATTGCATGATATGGAATACTTTATTGGCCAATTTGGCCCTCACTCCTAAATCTAAACTCAAATTATAAACTAGGAGTTAGGCGCCCTTTCTCCCGGCCGTTCTCCCCCTCAGCCTGTTGTGCTCCTGCACACTGGGAAAACATGGGAAGCTGAAAGGCTCTTGATGTCTCAGTACCAACTATAAGCATCAGTGCGCTATCAATGTTCTTCTCATAAAAAATCCCATACTAAATCCAAAACACAGAGCTATTCTAACTACTAAAAGAAAAATTTGACTCTGCCTTAGTCAAAACCAGGACACTGTTAGAGACTAAATCCTGTGTAGACTGAAAACACAAATTCTTTCAAGTCAAATCTTGACACTCTGCTATGTTAAATAAGCCTTAATATCCCTATCTAAAATATTTTTTTAGTGTTCCTTTCTTTCTGTGACTCTTATATGAACCATAACTGTAGAACTTGTGATGACAGCAGAAATGCCTGTTGGAGGAAAATGATGGAACAAAATCAAGTGACAACAGAAAATAAGTGGTTGAAAGGCATGGAAGTGGTGTATAGATGACTAAAATGTTTGTGTACATAAAAATAGTTTTACAAAGTGACCTAAAACTTCTAAGGTAATCTAATTCATATCCCGTATCTCCTACTTCACCCAATCATTTGGATTTGCAAATTAAAATCTTATCTGAGACTTGCAGGTCTCGCAGACATTTTAGGAATGACCAGTCCTTTAGCATCAAGGACATGCTGGACAGCAGAATGGGCAATGTTAAATCTTGATTCTGCTAGTATTTCTGAACTTTCTGTATATGTTTACATGTGTGCAAAGAAAGGGGAACAAAACCAAATTAAAACAGGAGCCTTTAGTGCTTTTTTTTTTGTGCATGTGGATGTGAAACTGAAGTACCACAACAGAGGACAAAGCTAGATGGTAGGGGTCGCATTGGCTGTACTATTCTTAATCAATGGGGACACTTGCTGAATGTTTTGTATTTAGACCAGAGCAGCCTCAGATTAGCTTTTGAGTCAGTAAGAACCATAAAAGCTATTAATTCACATCGGCATTGCTTGAGCCTTTCCTCACATCCAAGATTTTGGAAAGCTAGTTCTGTCCCACAGGATTTCTTCACAGGGGGAACTGGACTGCAAATTCAATAGGTTCATACTAAAGAAATTAGTTGTAAACTGGTGGGAAAATATCTCTGTATTTGTGTACTTCTGTGTATATTGTCAGTTCATAAATTATGTATGTATTTTTCAGGTAAAAGTAGGTATAATTCCCCGGACTTTGGGAGTGCTTCGTTGCTGAAACTCATTTGTTGTTGGAGTGACCAATCTATAAAGGTAGGAAATAGCCTGTGTCAGTTCTTTCAATGTAATCCTTAAGTAACGTTGGCTGTAATTCAGAATTTGGAATCTGTAATGTGATATAGTAGTTATGCATTTATGGTGAAATTATTACATAAATTGTGCCATTCAGATTTATGGAAAGCAGATTATTATTTCAGTATGAAATACGCTATTCATGAAATATTTTCCATTAAAGTACATGTTTAGATGTGAGAAGGTAACTGTCCTACTAGTCTTTAATCTAGGTGATCTTGTTCATAGCATGCATTTAAAAAAAATGAGTTACCTGTTCTCTGACAGCGAGATATAACATGTTACGAATGCCATTTTGTGCTCCAGGAAAAAAAAAAGCCCAAAATAAGGGAAGTATCATATACGAATGTATTATTATAGAAGAAACAGAAAATGCCTTCTTAAAGGGATAAAGAATTGATCCCGAGTCCTTACTCATTAGAACATTCTTCAAGAATGACTTAGAAAAGTAAGTTATGGGTTCCCAGGTCAGAAGAAGCTCATGCCTATTGTTAGTGAAGAGTCTGATGTCTTGAGAGATAAATTACTGTTTCTTGAGAGTTGACAGGTAACTCTGAAATAGTCTGAACAGTGAAATCTAGAGACCATTTTTCATTTTGGAAATATGCATTTAAATAAAGTTGTGTGGTTGCTTGAGTGAGTTAATGTTCAGGAGTACAAAACTCAAGACAGTATACTATGACCACAAACGATTTTACTCCAGAAAAGGGAAATACCTGTTACAAGTTCATTTTATGATGTCACTTTTAAAATCGAACACAACTCTGTGGTGCATTTCAAATGCAAAGGATTTTTTCCAGAGCTGAGGTGTGCAGGGATACTCCAGTGATAGACCCCTGTTGTGTTAGACAGTAAAGGTTTCTGAAAATATTCGCATCCAATTGAATTCAGCATTTTATCTTGAGCTTATCAGTTGTTTATTTTATCCCCTCTGTCTGCCCATCTCCCATATTATTTCAGCATTCTTCTTCCCTCACAAACTGTCCCCCTTTCTCTTACAATAAGACTTTTTCCTTTTTTGAATCTTTTTAATAAAACAAATCAAATACTGGGCCTCAGTTTCAATAACTGCAGTTGTCATGTGAATGCTATGTAATCTCTTGCTGACCTGGTCAGCCACTGAAAGTCTTTAGAGAGTGGAGTTGTATAGCCATGAAACTTGTATTTGTAGCATAGCTGATTACGTGAGATCTAAGTATTTATATTTCCAATTAATTTAGTGACTGATCCGTTTATACAATGATAACAGTCTTATCTACCATAGGAGGTTAGTGTGCAGGAAGATATGATGTGGAATAAGCTGCCTCACACTTTGTTCATCTGAAAAGACTTTAAGACACTGAAATTGTGAAGTACTGCGGATACCAGACTATCAGTACTTCTCAAATTTTAACGTTTTTCAGACATACCTTTGTAGTTGCAATAAGCTTTGTTAATCTGCTTTGTAGTGCAGATTTTGGGTCGTTTGCAGCCAAACTGGTGTAAACGTTTTCATATTCAAAATAATTTTTGGTGTTGGTGATGAGCGTAGGTATTCAGCAACCAATTATTTATACAAAATTTTAGTTTTAGTTGATAGTAGGGAGGCTTTGTTAAACCTTTCTTTATACAAACCCAGATTTATGGCAAATTTATTAATCCTCAGCAGTCTGATTAAGCACTCATGTACATTTACCCAAACCATCACTAGTTATCCTGCTTTTAAAAACTTTTTATTGTCTTCAGTGGAGGATACTGACTCTCAGACATGACCCAAAGGACTTGCCATTTATTGATTCCTCATCTCCTTACAGTACTGTAACAGATTCTGTGCAAACAAGGAAACTGAAAAAAACTGCTGCAAATGATTGATCAGGGGTCTCCTGACTTGTTGAAGGGCTGAGGGAGGTCTTTTTCTGTCTTAAATTTTAAAAATGCATATATTAAAAATGTTTTTTCTAGGATTTTTTTTTCACAGATGATTCTAAAGCAAAGGTTGTCTTCATGCATTTTTGCTGTTCTTTCAGGTAAATTATAGCTTGTTGTTGACACACTCCAGTCCTGTCCGGAAACTACTTAAGTGTCCTCATCTTTTCAGATTTTAAAAAAAAAGCTTATCCTGAAACATTTAATATGAGGAAACAGTGGTTGCATTTCTGCCCTTATTTGTCCTTACTCTGTGTTTAAAATAGCCAGTTCCTCAGTTATATGTGATAAGTGTTTAGTTATATTTTTTTTTAATAATAACACTATATTATTGCAGCTTCATGAAAACTTTTTGGCTGAAAGGGTGAACATTAAAATAAAACTATAAAACTTTCAATTAAAAAAAGTTACCAGAATAGTCAAACTGCAGTGCCATCAAAACATTTTGCCTGTTGTTGACTCCAGCAGATATAAGGATATTTTTTTCCACCAGAAGGATATCTTTGATAATTATTTCCTTGTTCTTCCTGGCTTCTTAGTCTTCAAATGATGTTGAAATGCCTTCTCCCTATACCTTTATTCAGGCATTTCAAGAGGAAGCATACAATAATAAGTAATTTGTTTCTGCTCTAAGATCTTTTTAAATATCATTGAGTGATGTTAGTTCTTGTTAGGGTGACTTTTCTGAAGACTGAAGTCCTTTATGTCTTCACAAAATGGTTATAGACCAAGTAAGCTTCCTTCTCCAATATGTCTTACTCCCTGGGCTGGACAACCATTTCTAAAACGGGGTAAACAACCCTGTCTCCATAGGTGCCTTCCTGTTTTCAAGGCTAATCTTGGCAAAGAAATTCAATATTAAACATGGCAGTGAGTTTTGCATGAAAATTTATTAGGTCAGTAGTTCCCCTAACAAAATGTTAAGCGTACAGTCATCATCACATCTACGGTCAAAGATTTGAGTTACATGACAACACGCAGACAGTCTGTCATACTCACACGGTGCCCATCAGTCTATGTAGCTTCAGTAGTTTGCTTTTGTTATGTGTGGCAGTATCAGAGCTCTGTGATGTGGCACACCTGTATAGAAATATCTGAGCTTTATCAGGTTCATTACTAATGCCTTTGCCATCAGTAGGAGTCATGCATCTCTTGCTTCTAGTTCTGAGTTACCTGGACATGAGTTGGCACTAACCTTGAAATGATCCTGTTGTATAATCCCAAGTAATAAGACTGTGTTAGAACTTGGATTTATTAATTCAGGAGCATCATCATAAATAAAAGTTATACAGCTTCAGCGTACAACCTTTAGGTCCTGATTTGGAAGTCCTCTACTGCCATCCTGATGTTGCAATATTCCTTTCCTGTACAAGAAACTTTGTATCCTCTTTATCAGCTAGATACTCAGCACAGTCTCCCGTCAGGAAAACTGTTGATGCCAGTTTAGATCTCTGACATAATCGTCTGCACGAGGAATGCAGTTGCTTTAGCCTCTCTCTTTCTCCAGTGGAAAAAGATAGATGCTCTGGAGGGACTGCTGAGATTTTTAGGACGAATGAACGATCTCAAGACTTTCTTACCTCTTTTTATTGATTCCTGCAGTGCACCTGTATTTTTTTCACTTCACTTTCTACATTACCGTTAATATCTAAAATAAGGTGGGTTGAATCTCAAATAAAAGGACTCAAACAAAGGACTTGACTTTGAAAGCATAAACCACTTCATGTTAAGGCCATTGCACAGGGTAGTGCTAATAAGCTAGTACCTTCTTTTACTGATACCGAAGATTACAGTAACTTCTCTAACACGCTCTGAGTCCGTTTGTTTTTACAGCATTTGACTCTACCTGAAGCCAACTGACTTCAGTATAAGTGTCTAGATAACTCTCCTGACAGTTGCTATCCAGAGTTAGAGGAAAGCAGACTGGATAACACAAGTCTGATGTTTTGATCTGTGTTTTTTTTGCTCCCTGATGTGACTGTGTTATGGAGGCATCTGGGAGGCAGCTTCTGCAAGGCTCAGCCCTGTAGAGGTTATGGCCTGAGCAATAACCAGGAGTGATGTCTATTGACTTCTTGCCTTAGACCCACTCATTATAAAGAGAATAGTAATCCTTGGAAGTAATTGATAAAGTGTAGAAAGGAAAGCCAGTAAAACTTAGTACAGATGTAACAGTACAGCTTAGCTCAACTTTTGTTCGCTTGTCTTTTTGAATTTTCTCTAGTATTGCTGCTGCAGAGTCAAACAATTACCTTTTACTCTTTAATATCTGTATTTATAGTGGGACATATGCTATTTATACTTTCTCAGGCATGAAAGCATCATTTCTGTCATATTTCAGAATCCCAGCTAAAAAGCAGCTACTATTTGCAACAGTGATTACAATACAATTATGGGGGAAAAAAAATGAGCACGTGTTAGTAGCCAACAAGATAGCTAATATATACGTAATCTAAAAGGACACTAAAGATAAAGCAGAAACTATCAGAATAAAACCAAAAGGTGCTCATGTAGATTAGAAACAGGGAAAGCTTCTAGAGATTTTTAAACATGGTGATAATGATAGATGAGGTATATGAATTCTTGGGGAAGACGCAGTGAGAGGACAAAACTAAACATGCAAAACCATACTGAGCACTGTGGAAACGCAGATTCAACAAAGTGATAGACAAATAGCATGCAGAGATGTACATATCATGTTGTGCCATTTGCTATGGGTTTTTTATTTTGTTTTAAGATGTTAGAGGAAATTACATGTTACAAATGCTGCCTGGCTGGCACACACAGCAATGCTACAGGTAATGAATATCTGATCCAGATTAGTGCCAGGTTCTTAGCACATCAGAACACCATGAAAAACAAATGTATGTGATTCTTTTGTGTACTACTTGAAGAATTTTTTTTCAAAAATTTTCCCAGGACAATGACATGTCTGTGTTTCCTTCTTTTTCTTAATTATTGTAGATATATTGTAAGAGTCTGCTGTAAAGTCAGGATCTGTAATCCCCAAAGCTCGGGGTTGTATGGATGTGAGGAATTGGAAACTGCCTTTGGTTTCCCCTGTAAAATAAAGTGCTATTATTACAAGATGAAGGTTTGTGCTATGTCAAAACACATAGGGCTGGGTTCACTTGCTGTGAACTTTCACACTGTGGACCTGGCTACGGTATACTTGTCTACAATAAAGGATTTTGTCACAAAGGACACCTACAGCCTTTGTTCTGCTTAATGATTTGAATTTACAAGGGCAGCTAGAAATGTGATTGAGGACAGCCCACGAATTCACTGTACTTGATTAGTGAGATAAAACTGTATCTCTTCCAGGCAGTTTGAGGGAGCCTGCATAGCAACCTCAATTCATATTAAACTTTAATTTTAATAGATAGTTTATAATATAAATATCCTATAAACGAAATGTTTATAATGTAAACATATTTAACTTAAAATTTTTGTATTCAATTTAAATTCATATTTAAGTTGAGGTGGAGTGCACTGTCCTGAAACTTTAGATTCTCTTCGTCTTTCAGGAAATTTCTTGTACTTGAGAAAAAATACCTTCCTGAGGGGGAAAAATTGTATTTCTTTTGTGAAGGAAATACCAAACAAAGAGAAGGTATGCATGCTGCCATTCTGCGTCATGCCAAAATTTAACTGAGTATGGATTGCAAAAGTATGGCTCCATTATATAAGGTCTTCATATGCTCTACAAGCATCTTAGGTCTTTAAACTTTCTCAGTACTCCCAGGCCTTCTCTGCTAAAGTAAGGAGAAGGAAAGTAATAATTCTGTCGTACAGTCCCCACACTGCGTTGTCTTAACACCCATATGTGGTGCATCAGCTATTGCAAGTGCCATTTATAGTCTGTTCATAATTCCAGCAGATGTTCCTTTTGGATAAGAGGTGTTTGAGGAGAATGGTATTTCTCTTTGTGTAGACAAAAAAAATACAGTATTATCATGTTTGAGCTAGAGGAATAGAGGATCACCACTAGTAACAAAACATTCTTGAAGCTTTTTAGAGGGAGACTAGAAACCAAAAAGTCTGAAGAAGCCAAACTACAAGGTCCTTATTTAGTCCATGAAGCATTTTTGCACACATCATAGAAAGAAATGAAGATATTTCTTATTAGCTGTTATCACCATGTGCTTTACTAATGTATGTTGTCATGACCCCTTGAAATCAAGGAGGCAGTAAACAACTGCTTCTAGTTTTGAGATTAAAGAAAATGAATCTTTAATTAGTGGGAAGCAGTCATGATTGACAACTTGCACCATTTTATTGCTATCCAGTTAACATTTATTTCTCAGTATGTGTGTAGAGACATGATTATCACCATCTGAAAGATACTGGTAAGTGTTTACTTTCTAATGACATTCGCTGGAACAGTCTTAAAATTGTCAAATGCCAAGATAAATAATTGAAGTAGTGATATCATCCAATAATAATTTGCATTTATGACAGGTTATTGAGGCAATGCAGGCAGTGCTGCTGGCAGAAGTTCAAAGGACTATGAATACCTTGAGAAAGACAGCAATCTGCAGAGAGCCATTGGCCATAGTAGAGAATGGAAATGGTAAGTTGTGGATGCTGCCAGACTGAGAGGGATTTGCAATATGTTAAAAATGTTTATTTGCCATGTAGGTAGAAAATTTATTGGTATATTCTTTCAAAAGAACTTTCTCTAGTACTCAGAACAAGTTAGGAGTATGAGTTCGTAATAAATTATTTCTGTGTAAGACAAGCCAAATGGCCTATTTCTGACCTTATCAGGCTATGAGTTTTCTCATATGATTGTCAGGGATTTCACGTTGTCTCATCATCTCTGAACATTAAAGAAAAGGTAAAGTTTCTTTGATTGTATGAAAGTTCTTTAGTATTGTAAATACATTTGCAAATAAAGGAAACAATGTGTTTGAAATAGTCAGTAAACCATATTGAGAAGAAGTTTTACAAATTTATCTTTTCAATGACATCAGAACTTATACAGCACTAAAAATTAATTGCTTAAATTTTATAACTTCATAATGTAATACAGAATATTTTATTTTTCTTTCAGAAATAACCTCCATGCATGGAGATATCAAATGCATTTTACAATTAGATCATTTCATTTTACAAGAAGCTTACTCTTTTCAGCTTTACAATGGTGCTAATGTTTATGGTGAAAAAGATTGAACCTGAATTTATGTTATGAAGTTATACTCTTTTTTTTTTTAGCCCATTAGCTGAGTCTTAAAATTAAGTGACCTAAATTTTAGATCCAATCTTATTAGTGAGCCTTCTCTTGGGAAACTAATTTATAATCTCATTGAGTGTGTGTGTGTCTGTCATGAAAATTTGTTACCGATCTGCTTGTTCCAGGGTACTAAAAATGATCAGTAATATTTGCTTCAGGACACGAAACAAAATGGTATCTCTATAATTTGTACTGTTGGAATATAATGAAACTCAAACACTTTGAGTAATTGTCATATAAAGGTTTATACTTTGCTTACACTGAAGATTACTTTGAATCATTTTATTTTTATGTGATTTGGGATAAGATGCATTGTAACTAAAATATCGCCAGCTGTGAAGTGCATATATAGATTGGATTCCAAATTTCCTGAATTTCAGTATGTATTTCCATGTGGTATTTTGACATGGGTTACAAAAAACCAGGACCAACTGGAAGTTGCAAATGCAGATATCTGCAAACTCCAGAGGTGTTTAGGTCTTTGGGTTTGTTTCAAAACCTTTTATACTAGATGAAAAAACACTTCTGTTATGTAAAAAGTGCTGGAATGATTACAAGAGTCTAGAAGTCAATTGTTGTTTAAATCTAATTAAGTATTAAGGCTTGCACAAGTTATGAATTCAGGGAGTTACTTCAGCTTTCCACTCTCTGAAAGGGAGATTTGGTTGTTTGTATGTCTAGTAAAAGATTTTTACTGTCATTTTGTTCTTAACCCTGTTATTTGAAGATTATTCAACAAATAGCCAGAAAATTGCTAGAATGGGCACAGTATTCATAAGCATTTATACTGGCTGGGACTTTATCTTCATGATCTGAACTACATAAATATATCCTGCAAAGCAGAGTAGATTTTTTGACGTACCATTGTTTAACAATTGAACGTATTCTGAAATAGACAGAAAGCATACAGGACAACTGGGAAAGAGATGTTACACTATGAGTATTTAATATATTAGCTTTCTTTCTCATTTTCATTCATGTTTTAGCTTGTTGCATTATTTATCATAGTATGTAAATAGCACAAATATTCTTGTTTTGGTTTGTATGTTTTTATTTTTCTACTAGACTATATGGATTTATTCAGAATCAAACAAATTTTTTTGTGATTTCTAATATGTTAAAGAGTAAAACTATTCATGGCATATAACAATACACAGAAATTATTTAAAATCCATCCAGGAGTAAGTCCGCAACCAGTCTAATTACTAAGAAAAGTAATTATGTCTGGTTTTAGTCATTCATGAGATAGTTATATTGTCTTATATCTTATTAAATACTCTGTATTTATGGTTGGGTTGCCTATATGGGTTGTACCATAGCTGTCATCTTGCGTGCCATCAACCTAAAGATTAAATATTGTTTCAGGTTTTTAAGTCATGATTCAAGACTGAGATCATGCACTTTGACCCAAAGTAAAAGTATCTGAATCTTGGCTGCCATCGTTGTTGGATTGGATTGCATTTTTGTTTAATTGGAATTAATAGATTTGATCTGGAGATGTTTAACCTTGTTTAACTCAACAAATTTCCACTCAAATCAATAGAAGTTTTTGTTAAAAAGACAAATAGAACTTTCATGATTTGACCTTAAGTTTTTATTATCTTTGAAGTTTATAGTATATTATAGTTCTTTTTTCAGAAAACTCCTTACTCCTTAAAAAGCTCTTGCATCCTTTCTTCAATGTTAAGGGTCATAGCATTTAGATAAGAGCTTCGCTTGCTGAATAATTTAAAATGCTGTATTTTTCTCTGTGGTTCCATACAGACAGACTTGTTTTTTAATTGAATTTTTAAAAAAGTAATATATTTTTCCAGAAATAAAGATAAAGAAGTTAAAAAAGGTCTTCATGTAAAGCATGCCAGAGAAAGGGTTAACTACGTTCTGTCCTAGTACCTTCTCCCATACTTGCTAAAAGGAAATATCAGTTGCAATTGCTTTGTTAATGACAGAGATAATAATTTTGGACCTATTCCAAACATATTGCTATCATCTCACCATTGATTTCTGCAAGCTTTACTTCAGTTCTTCAAAGAAGCTGAGGTTTTCCCTCTTTTTTTTTTTTTTTTACATTCATCATAATTCTGGAAAAGTATATTGCACTTTAATCCCTTGCCTTTTTCCTAAATACGATAATCTCAGGTTAATGGTACCGTTTAACAGGTTGGCAGTGTGGTATTGTTTTCGACTGCCATGTGAGTCAGAGGCAGCGATTTTAAAATCTTAAGAATCTATTTATCCACTTTGATTTGCATGAGCTAAGAGGAGCAAAGTTTGGCATTCTTCATTCATTTTTCATTTGCAGTATTTGATCTTATGATATGCATACTTAGTCCATACACAGCCATGTGCAGAACTTCTTTGATTGGAGGAAAAATGGTGGTAATGCCACTGTTCACATTGACTGAATACAACGAAATTGGATAGTCCCTCCTGTAGTTGATTTGAACCCATATCTTCCTCCACAGTAATTCATCGCTTAGCCTCAGGGCATTCTGCAGTGAGTCATCTGCAGAAATTCTTTCGCTTTTCATGGAACTCTCAAAGTATTTGCAAGAGGTAAGAGTTAGAAATGAGATTCTCTCACCTCCAAGTCTGTTGTGTGTAGGACTGTAATTTCCTTTTAGCTACTGCACTGAAGCGTTTTCCTATATTCCTTCCTTGGATACATCTCTTCTAATGCATAGGGAGCCAAAACTATCTCATCTGAAACAACATTATAGCATACAAGTTCTTCTGGAATTGTGTGCCTCATTTTTTTTTTTTGTAAAATGTGAAGAACTGTATTTATTTACCTTTTAAGAAAATTGTGAGGATAGATGTGTTTAAGATGTTCATGGTCAGATGTTAAATTGAGGAACTGATGCATGTGATATTTGAGGAATACCAAAAACTGGAAAAGTTAAAGGAAAGCATAAAGTACAGTCTTTATTCCTAAATACAGGCTGTTATTTTAACTGTCTCTTAGATTTATGAAAAATTTACATGTGAAAAATCACACCAAGACCAGCTTGCAATAAATTCTGGTTTGGACTTTAAAAATCCTAGTTTAAGAAACTGCTAATGATTCAAGCTTTTAAGTGTATTTGAAAGCTATTAGCTATAACCTCATCTTTTGTATGTGGTTTTGGAGCTATTTAAACTATTCAATTAAATAAATTGGTTCTTCCAGAAAAAAGCTTCTGCTGATAAATACCAGAGTGAAATTAATGATGGCAATTGAATTCCATAGGTTAGTGTAAAGAATTGTCAAAGACTTGTCTAGAATATAACAATATGTTTTGTTAAAATGAGGAATCTTCAGTAATGGTAAATCAATGAAAGGTGGGATGTAACAGCTTCTGTTCGCTAGAAAAATGTCCTGCAGCAGAGGGTTTCAAACACTTTTATTGTCTGGGTTTCAGAAATCTGTCCAGTTGCAGACAACTTTTTTGTTAACTCTCTTGAAGTTATTCTGTCACAGTGCCTTTCTGTATAGCAAATGAAGCTTCTTGCTGCCTGAAAAGTCTTAAGGTTTTGTCAAGGAAGTGTAGATAAGGAGTAGGGTTGTTCTCTCTCATACTTTCTTTCATATTGTCATCTCGTTACAACCTACTGCCTTTTCATATTAGTCCAAATATAAGTTCTGACTCTGTGTTTAAACGAACAAAAAAGACCCAAAAGACAACCCTGACTGGGCATTAGTCTATGGAGACCATTGATACCACAAAGATTACGCAGGGTTTCAATGAAAGCCTGGCCTTGGTAGCCTGATTGCTGAGGAAATAACTTTTAGGGGTGTAAAATGCATTGATACTCTTATTTACTGTAACCACGTTAATGTAATTTGTATTGTTTGTATTCTGGTGAAGTATTGCATGCCCAGAAAACTTGAACATCTGAAGAATCAATTTCTGGCTTAAAGTTTTACATTGATAAATGTACGTCTCTCCTCATAGCCTTATATTTCCCTTACTGTGTTTAGGAAACTTAGTTTCAAGTTTGGATTTGAGCTTGTGATGTATGTCATGTGTTCAGTCTTTGAAACTGCATGTCTTGCTGTGGCTGGTTTCCGTATCCAACATGAATCAGGTAATCAAGCAAAATTTGGATAAAGGCGTCCAGGCAAAATGTGTTGGAGTCCTAGAAATGCACGTAACCAGAAAAGAAAAGCTATTAGTGCAGCTCTTGAGAAATCTCTCATCTCTTCTGGATTGACTACTTGTAAAATCAGGAATCAAGTCAGTGGAGGGGGCCGGGCGGGAACTCATAGGAACATCTCTGATAAACAAAAGAAGAAAAGGCTGAAGAGAAGAGGAGAATGGGATACAAAGGATCTGGAGGTAAACAGAAAAAAGTGT